CACAAGACCCCGATATCTCAAGCGTGGTATAGAACCGGGCGACAGCAAAGCTGTCTACCACGAAAGTTGGGTGGCGGTGGCGGGGCTCGAACCTCGGACCACAAGGTCCAAAGCACACCGGTGACAGCGACTAAACCACTGCACCCCTGCCACCCTATTGTATCAATGGACAGTAACAACAAATAACTACAAGGATGATGTTACATAACGTAACTGAACTATTTCCAGTCAAATATGGTAACCAGCAGACGGTTCTAATCAAGTATTTTATAGACAGAGAAGATAACCATATCAGTTGATACTACTTACATGCGTTGAGAGTAGGTGATAGTCAAATATTCGGTTTTATTAGTAGCTTGAACAAATATACTCCGTTATTTTGAAATTATTTTTGACAAAAAAGAGCGCTGATCAGGTTACCAGTAAGCTGGAGTTCGAATCCCGTTACTATCACTTGTTTATCCCCCTTCCTTTCTCAATGACCTCAATTGGCTCTTGATCAGCCTAACCTTCTCCTGGTATTCGTGGCAGTTAGTGGTCACTCGAGCTGTTACAGGTAGGCAAACAGTGAAATGAGGTGGGGGGGTATTTTTTGACGTAACAGAGTTGCAATCGCTTTAAGATTTATAAAAATAATTGAAAAAAGCTTGCGTTTTTTTAAAAATTTTCATCGAAAAACGATTGATCTTTACCAAAATCTGTTATCCTGCCCAAATGTAGATAGAATCATTCATTCCAGGTGGAGCATTCGAAGGATGACAGGAAAACATCGAATTTTGAACGCCCCCGCCCCAAGTTTGATCACCAAAGCTGCACAGGCACAGAACAAGAATTATGAGATTCGAAGGTCAACACCAACGTGTGTTCCAAACAAACCATTGTGACGCAACAAATTGATCGACCATCCGGGGCTGCACGTGAGTTAATGATCCGAGTCCCAGAGATTAATTATCCTACTATTTCTCAGCACCATTGGTTGTTCCCTGCTTGCGCAGAGACTGCACATGCTGATATTTGTAAAAAAAACAAATAAGTAAATCACAGCACGGACTGGAGTTGTCACGTTCGAATTGATTAACGACATGAGCCACCACGTTTGTGCCCAACTCACTTTCAGAACCATGGCCAAGTGTTTCAACTCGGATGACTCAATATTCAGCCGAGTGACAATTGGGCTTCCACCTGCCGTGCGATCCGGTGAGTTTCGACGGCTCAAACTGATCAGACTCCAGAAAATGCGTGGCGCTACCCGACCGGGAGATCCAGCCGCCGGTCGATTGACTCGGAATAACAGTTTGTACACTTCAGTTGCAGGACTGTAAAAACAAAAATGTGCAAGATAAAAAAATAAAACACAAGCTGCAAAATGAAAGGACAGAACTTAATTCATGTACACACACGATAGTGGAATTAGTTAGTATAAAATCTTTTAGTGACTCTTATATCAGAAACCTTGCTCAATACCTTTGTAGAATGGAGGTGTTTTCCCAGTGATAAAACAAAAAAGACAAGATCTGAGGTTTTAATTCAATCGATAAACCAACCACCGGTGGCTCACCTAGGCGAGTTGACTAAAAAGAAATAATGAGGAACCAATCTAGAACAGGTATGGGAACCATACAGAAACACTTTCATCACGGCAGTGATCACCGGCTCGATTGCACATCAGAATGAATTGATTGACACCTGGGACTTTGGATCGTGGCCGAAGCGCGGAAGCGTGGACATCGACTCCCCCAAAATGGATTGTAGTTTTCCCCTTACCGCTCTGGTCTTTTGTGGTTCAGGCTTTGTTTGATCAAAGACGAATTCCTCAACAACATTCACCCACCTTGGCCAGGCAATTTTACGCCCACGAGCAAATGCGTGAACCGTCCAGGGATCTGCATCGAGGATGTTGTCTAGGCTGGTTACGAAATGTCTGCAAACAACTTTTCCTGGTCAGAGAACCCACCAACACACAATACCCTCATCCCGAGCTATTTAAAAGATACCTTTTCTTTTCAGTTATAAACCATGGTAGTAAGAATATTATAACATTTTTAAACAAACAAATATTTTTTTTTGAAAAGTTTCTAAGAAAACAAGTATAGATTGGATGGACAGTTGTGATATTTCTAAATATGAGCATACGTTACAGAACGAGTTTTGTGGTCTAAAAACACTCTATCGATGATGATAAAAATTCGACATGAGTTTTATGAATGCTGGCAAATAAAACACTGGACGCGTGGTTGCGAAAACACTTTTCCATATCTGTGGCACAACAGATGAGTTCGAATTCTTTTCCTAGAAACTTAGAGAATCATATTGGACGAACCTATCTGGAAAGTCATATCGGGGTCACCAAAGATTCTATCACCACCATCACCATCAACACTTAACCTGCTCCAAACAGCCAGAGCCTCCGAATCTAGAAGGGATGATGACTCCAGGCCGATCAGGTCAGCTTTCACAGTCCTTCCTATTCAC